AATAATAATATTAGAGTTATTAATATAATTATGATATTATTTGTTACAATATTACTATTACATTATATTATATTATATTATATTATATTATATTATATTTATTATATTATTGTATTATTATATTATATTATGAGTCTGAATTTTAGATTGAAAAGATTATAAATTTTAAATTTCATTAGGAGTATTATGGGTATTATGAAAGTTTTATTAATTGTACTATGCTGATTTCCACATAATTTAAAAGCTAAAGTTGCCTTTGGGCTGTTTTCTGATTTTAGCTGTATATTCTTTAAAAATTCTTTAAAAAGTACTTTTGATGAGATTTACTAAACACTAAAATCAGTTTCTGCTGTAAAATTAATTTTTACTATAAGCAGAAGCTGATTTTAGGAGTAAAAAATAATACCAAACCCAACCTTTGACTGCTCTACCTTCAGAGTGCGTGCTTGCAGTTGAAACTCTGAAGCTTAAGTCAAGCCAAACATTTATATATGGATAGATTTTGGTAGGATAAAAATAAGACGGTGAAAAATTGCTTATATGAGAGGTTAAGGGCCTGTTTATTTCGCTGATTTGAGTTTGTAATTCGAGTTGAGATGTGATTTTATGTGAGAGTTTTTTACTGTAATAAAAAATTTAGATGTAACTGTTTCTGAGAGTTTTTTACTGTAACTAAACTCGAATTGACGAAATGAACGGGGTCTAAATATCTTAGTTATATACGTCACATCTTTCTCGGGTTTATGATTTTTCTCAAACATTCATTTTTTTGAAAAAGCCTAAGAAAGATTTCATCCCATGACATGTTCGCTATTATTATTTACTACGCGAGTGTCAACACGTGGCGCCTCTGATCCTCTGCATCGATCGCCCTGACATGATTACACGTGTTGGACTATAACTATTCTATTGAGCCGACACATGCCACCAACTTCTCTTTATCTCGATCTAAATCTCTATATGTCGAGGTTTCCAAGCAGCATCGGTCTAGCGAATCGACGTCTTTAGTCACAAACCTCAATCCTAGTCAAAAGATCAACCGAGGACACGTGGCATTCTCCTACTTACTTGGTGGAGAATCTGCCAAACACTATATTATAGTTTGGAAGATGATAACATCATGATGTGCTTAATTCAGCCCACTGAGGTCTGATCTAATGTTCCTCGCTCTGTAAATTAGCCAAAAGGGTAATGTGAAAGAGAGGGAAAGTGACGTGGACCAAGCATAAAATTAGAAACTCGTTTATTTCACCGATTCGAATTTTTATTTTTAAGTTTTTACAGTAAAAAACTCTCAAAAAAATGTCACATCTAACTTTTTTTATTACAGTGAAAATCTCTCATAAAATGTCACATCTCAACTCGAATTAAAAACTCGAATCTACAAAATGAATGAGACCTAAATGATCATTACCGGAAAGAAAACGCTGGTCATGTTTTGTGGATATGCAGTGGGCGCGACGTTGGGTGGGATGGCCTTTCGCTCTTTTGGCTCATTGCAAGTGTAACGACTAATCTGGTGCAACTTCATTATTATTTACTATTGTTGTTATTGGAGGTGATGGCATTTCACCCTCCATCAATTGCATGTTTGACCGGTAACCTCTCGTACTAGAAAAACACCTGTGCCACTTTCTAGCTTGCTTTTTCTTAAATGCATAAAGTTGGAGATAATTTTGTTACCATTTGGTTTCTCTTTTTTATGATCTTCTCATCTCACAAAACAAGAAATGGCCTCCACTCAATCTCGTTTTTGGTAAGGATTTGTCGTTGGTATAAAAAAAAAACAATATAAAATTAACAAAGAGTGATTAGATACGATCCCACTTTTGACTCCTTTAATAATTGCGGTCCATCATGTATATTTGGTGTCGCCACCATTTTGCATGAGAAAAATGTTATAAAACATCAATGATATTGAACGCCATATTCACTAGTGTTTAGTATAAGTAATGAGTCCAATCATTTTTCTTTATCTAAACCATTTAAACAAAGTGCGGCTCCATATTTTAACAATGACCATGTAAGGTAATATTAGTACGAACTCAGGAGGTTTGGTGAAAATTTTCATGTTGTATATGCTTCATAACCAACGGTGTGGTGTAATTTGACCACCAGAATTCTTAGCTAGTTGATCATGCGGAGTTCTCGGCCTCATTTATTTTACCGATTTAAATTTTAATTTTAATTTTTTAAGTTCTAAAAAACAGTTATATTTTTTATTATAATAAAAAAATCTCACGTAAAATTATATCTTAATTCAAATTAAAAATTTAAATCAGTAAATTAAGGCATCGTTCACTTCACAGATTTGAGTTAAGATGTGATATTTTTTGATAATTTTATACTGTAACAAAAAAAATTAAATGTGACATTTTTTAAAAAAATTTTACTGTAAAAATTTAAATGGTTGAAATAAATGAATGATAAATGAGTCCCTATATATTATTTTCTAAAGAGGATACTATTTGCTTTATCAAATTGGTACATACTGATCTGCTTTTCTAAAATAAAAAATTAGATCAATATGTACCAATAGTACTCATGAATAGAAAAGATATCATAAAATATAAAATAGCATTAACTATTTACGGGGGAGAGTGGACAGAGATGTCAATCCCAGCTCTATAGGTGGAATCACCCGTCTTTCAGTCCCATCCAATATTCCAAAAAAAGGTGTCCTCGTCAGCATCCAAATTAAAACGAATAACATAAAATAACAGGAAAAAACAATAAAATATTATCTCGTTCACTTCACTAATCTAAATTTAAAATTTAAAATTTATTACAGTAAAATATTCTTAAAAATAATTATATTTAATTTTTTTATTACATTAAAAAATTCTCACATAAAATTAAATCTCAATTCGAATTATAAACTTAAATTAACGAACTAAACAGACTATCCATAATTCTCTCATAATCTGTAAAACATAGACTTGATAGTCTTTTATTTTTTAATAGTTAAATTTGTATTAAAATCTACCAATTTTGTATATTCTTTTAATTTATTATAATTTTAATTAGATCTAACTATAAAAAATTAAGATTACTAATAACACGGATTATGGAAAAAATTTCCTGTAAATAAATAACTAATTTTTCATCAAATATCCACGGTACCATTTTTCAGCTTAGGGTTATCAGTGCGTAATTATCACGAATAAATAGCAAACACCAACGGCCAACCATCAATCGTCAACACGTGTACTGACGACTGATCAGAATTTATTAAAACCTCATTTATTTTACTGATTTGAGTTTTCAGTTTTAGATTTTTACAGTAAAAAATTTTTAAAAAATGTCACATTAACTTTTTTTATTACAGTAAAAAACTCTAAAAAAATATCACATCTCAACTCGAATTAAAAACTCGAATTCACGAAGTGAACATGCCCTAAATCATCACAGTGGGTCCCGGCCAAATTCCACTGTTTATAAAGGCTCTCTCTCAATTCTCCTGTAGAGTAGACGCAAACCCCAGGTGGGTTTTGCAGATCCAACACGTCTCCAAACAAAATTCCACCATTATTAACGATGATAATGATGTCGTAATATACACACACACACCCACACCCACACTCACACCAAACATTTCTCAATCCACACTCTCTCTCATAACTCATTTTCCAAAAAAAAAATAAAAAGAACCCCCTTTGAAAGTTTTGGTTCAGTTCTCCATAATTGGACCAGAAGTAGCACTAATACTCGGTGTTAATTTAGTTCTGGGTCTCTCTCTGCCTCTTTGTCACATCCCTTCCTTTTCTTGACGTGCGTCGGTGAACGTGAAACAGAGAAAAAAAGAAAACAAAGAAAAGAAAAGAAAGAGAAGAGAAGAGATCATTTAATGGCTGAAGTTAAGGACCTTCCCTAATAATTTATATTATATAGATCACCTCGATATACTCTCTCCCCATTCCCATCAACATCGTCACTAGCTCTTGCCCATAACTCTATTTAATCCAAGAAACAGAGCATTAGTGGGTTTTATAAGAAGAAGGGGCAGTAGTAGTGAAAATCACAGAATAACATTGGTTTTGATCTGAGAATATGGGAAACTGCCAGGCGGCGGAGGCGGCGACGGTGGTGATTCAGCACCCGGGGAATGCGAAGATCGAGAGGATTTACTGGTCGGTGAGCGCCAACGAGGTGATGACGAAGAACCCCGGGCATTACGTGGCTCTGGTTGTTACGTCGCCGACAATGAAGACGGAGAAGGGTACGCCATTGAAGCAGCTCAAGCTTCTCCGCCCCGACGACACGCTCCTCATCGGCCACGTCTATCGCCTCGTCAGTTTCGAAGGTAGTAGTACTTCATGCGATTAATCAACCTTTTTAGTTGCATGACATGTCGTTTGAGCTTTGGTTAATTGATGTTTGATTTAATCGCATTTTTTTCTTTTTTAAATGTTTGGGTGGAGTGTGGGAGTAGATGTATTGAAGGAGTTCGCAGCCAAAAAGTGCGTGAAACTGGGGAGGTTGCTGAAGGAAAGAGGAGGGCTTGGCCTCGACTTGAGGAAGAAAGACTCATCGGATGTTGGTCCCACTAGTCGGAGTCTCAAACCTGATAACTGCAATTCCTTCAAGGTAATTTCTCTTTTTTATTCAAATTCTGTGAAAGAATCGTTAAGAGAAACTTTAAACGCGTAAATTAAACGGGTTTTAATAGTTTTGATGTGTTCATCATGTAACAAATTGGTGTGAATTGATTAGGTAAATTTGTTGGGAAATTTTGGACATTTGATCATGTAGCATTAAAGAACATGCTAAACACTAATCATGAGGTGCTAGATTTTGTTTGTTTCTTTGTGTGTGTTATCTTCTTGGGTAAATTTAGATGGGTATATAGATAGTGCGTCTTTTCTGGTTCTCTGAGAGGTGTCTTCATCCTTTTGCTATTTGTCATCTCATCGCATAAAAGCATCTGTAGGGTCCCCAAACCCAGTAGTTACAATAAACAGTTAAATTGTTTAAAAAATAAAAAGAGAAGGAAGAGAAGAAGAAACAGCCGATATCTGTGTACCATCTTCCGTTCTTCTCAAATAAATAAATAAATGACTGTACCATGATCTGCAAAAATCTGAGCGGTGGATAGTGCCGATCGTCTCTAATTCGAAGAATCTGCGCTTTTTGTTTGAAACACGAATCTCGAGGCGATTGGGATTTCATTCGTAAGGAAACACGGCTTTACCATTGTCAGAAAAATTCCAACTTGTACCAGATTGAAATGAAAAAGGATTAAAAAGAATGTAACTTAAAAAAAAAAGTGGAAAATAAGAACCCCTTTGCAATATGCCTCCTTGGGAAAATAATAGTAAATTTTATGGCGGTGCGTGTGCGTGTGATTTCCATTAGTCTTATTATAAATTATTATATTGTAATTTAATATGATTTTAATTTGATTATAAAAGTTGTCTTTCAAGCCCATCAAAAAAATGTGGTGTTTCACATTCCTTAAAAAAATGTTTTACATGCATCTTTTACGTTATATACCCTTATTACAGATCTCTTGATCTAATTCTACAAAAAATAATAATAATAATAATAATAAGGATCAGAAACAATTTGTTATTTAGGATAATAATTATATTAATTTGGCTTAATTGTTCTATTTGACAATATTGTGTGGGGATTTGATGTCAGATCGAAGTCTTAGGTCTGTTTCTTTTTATATTTTATTTAGAAGGAAAAAAAAAAGACTCCTTTTAAAATGGACCGGCTATATTTTCTCCTTAGAACAAGAATGCAACGTGTTTCTTTGTAATGTAAGATACCAATGAGTCATTGGCATTTGTCAATGAGTGGTCATTGTCTCACGCTAGTGCGTCATGTTTGCATGGAATATATATATATATATATATATATATATATATATATATATATATATA